CATGTCTTCACAGAGTCGCCTCTCTCTTTCTTTTTTTTTTCATGTCCTTCTCTCTGTCTCCTTCCTCTCTCCGCCATCTCTCTCCCTCCGCTTTTTCCTCTTTCCTGTTCTTCTGCATTACAGATAATGACCGAATATCCTCAATACACTTCAAATGAGGAGTTAGACTCTCTTGTAAGTACCAATTTTCATTGATCGTGTTCTTAACCGACGAAAACCCCTCCTCCTCCTCCTCTCTTCCCATGATCCCCATCTCCCTTTTCCCTACTCATCATTTTTTTTCTCCACTTCGCTTCTTTGCCGCTGCCAACGTGTTGCTTGTTTTTGAAACGAATGTAACTTGTGCTGCCATCTCTTGACAATGCTGCTTACGATACATTGTCGGCTTGATCGCGTTTTTTTTTTTTTTGTCTGTTTGCTCCTGTCCTTTGTTTGCTGACACGAACGCTTTGCTGCACACTTCTTTTGATGACGTCTGAACACCCTTGTCTCATAATATGCTGCAATCGCTTCGCATTTGCTTACTGACGTTCACGACATCTTGCGCCGATCGCTCGCTTCTACAATGGCATGCAAATCGGAACCTAACTGTTCGCGTCATCCTTCACATCGTACCTATCCTTACGTCCTTCGGTTATCCTAATCTTTGGTCATTTTAACACCGCCATACCAATGGCTACATCCTCGAACGTCTCTATACAACTTGCCCGCTCTCGCATGACTGGACATTCTGGACAATCTCTCTTCACTTGAAATCTCCAATTCCTTCGTTCTCAAATGCACAACACACTGCCTAACCTTCAATTTAATCGCACTACTACGTAATTTCCCGGCTTTACATCCCATTTTATTTCGCCCCTGAACCCTTGCCTCGCATGGCTGGTGCTCGGACTGCTCTTGTCGCTTCGTCTCTGATGTTTCCCGTATTCTTCAAATACCTGGTCCTTTCTTTGGACCACTACCCTCTCTCCACCACCACACCCCTCCCTCTTTCCCTACCCCCCTTTGTTTTTGGTTTGTCTTTCAGACGAGGCAAGACAAACAATATTACCTTCCCAACCCTGAGTTAGACAGCCTCGTAAGTATCTTCCTGGAAACACCACCCCTGTTACATCCCACCCTTCCCTACCCAGAATAACGTGAGCTTTTCTGTATGTGTTTACTATGTTTTTTTTTTGCTGCATAACGCTAAAACCGCGCGTAGTGTTTGTTCGTGCTGTGGGAAGTGCAGGAAGCCCGAGCTGGTATCATGAATGCTTGCGAGAGTTGCTCGCAACAAGTCCGTGCTTGCGAGAGGTGCTCACACGGATGCTTTCGCAATTGGATATTGCAGATAATAGTTAACTTGCAAGTTATAGTTAACTGAGTGGTTAGCGGAGTAATAGAGACGCAGGCGGAAGCAGCCACGTCGGATCACAAATCGTGACGCACTGTCCTGTTGTGTAATGAGATGACAACCTTTTCATCAGCCCCGAAAGCCATGGAAATACAAAAAAAAAGTCTCCGTGGAAGTAGCGCCTTTGTTTGAATTCCTACGAAGGAACTTGCAGTTGATCAGTTGTTCGTGCGTTCACTTTTTGCTGACTGCATGCAATATAATTTCCGCTTTGGTGCAACTCTGTGTCGCGTACGACTATTGACACGTCAGCGTTCTCATGGCAGTAAATGAGGCTTAGTAACGTGTCGTTCGTTGCGTGAATTCATGAAGTCTGGCAAGTCTGGCATGTGGGCCGAACGAGTGTTACGCAGTGCACATGGTACGGAGAGCTAAGATTTAGGTGTCACATTCGCTAGTTCTGCGTCCTCGTCGCTTGCTTCCGAAACAATAGAGTCCTTTTTTATACTCTAATTCAACTTTGCTTTTGCAAGGCATGCCGTCTCACACCTCCGAAATGTGTACTGAGGACAATAAAAATTCAACAAAATGACAGCACACATTTCGTAACTACGTTGAATAATTACGTGGTATGCTAATTTAACGAAATTTTCACGTTAAGTTTTGGGAGGCTAATGTACTAATTCCTTGCTATTCGGCCTAACGCCGCGTCACTAAACGTTGCAATCGGTCAGTGCCGTAGCCAGGGTGGGTAATATGGCACCCATTACCCCCCCCCCCCCCGTCTCCTCGCCACGCACACAAACAAAGAGAGAATGTCTGCGCCCTAGCATTAGCAATAATATTTGACCGCCTACAATACACTTGTCAACAATACGCGCTCGTATTTAACTGCTACTCTTTGGGATAGAACACATTGGTTCAATTCAGTCTCAGTATACCGTACAACATGTATGCTCAGAGCCACTGCACACGTGCGCCAAATCACTTCGAACCCAACAACTTGGCTTAACTACTGTGCCTCTAGCCGTGGTGCATATATAAGTACGGCACGTGTTCCGGGAGTTATAACGCTTCGTTAGCCGACATTCCGTTGAAGGACGAGTCTATTCAGTGAATATAAAGTCAGCACAGACTTTAGGATTAGGTGATGCAAGCTCTGGCTTCCTCTCCCGCGCAGTTTTGTGGAGACGTATTTTTTGTGTTTTGTTTTTAATGCTTGCACTGTCGCTTGAAAACCTGCCGATGTCTCGTCTCATTGTGCAGTTGTAACGGCGAATCGCGAGATGTCGAAGGCTCGTTTTGGCAGCTCTCGCGAAAGGTCGCGTAGTTTTGATGAATGTGCCGCAGCCGGGCTTCCGACAATGTGTGCGAGTCTCCTTGCTCGATTGACATTTTGCCGCAAGGTTTATTTGGGCTGCGCGAAAAACTCGCGAGCAGGCGGCATAGTGCCGTTTTCTGCACAACACCGCGTTACTAAATTTGCAGACGTGGATACAGAGACGTGGCGCCCATGAGACATCTTAACATGGGTACTGACGCTGATAATTAGCTTGTTGGAACGCATGAGCAACGGCAACAAACAGATGAGAAGTTTTCATTAGGTATTGATCGCGAATAACGCTGCAACAACAACAGTTAACGCGACAACAACAGACGTTCACTCATATTTAAGTGATGCCGCGGATGCGCGACATAGGTCACCAGCTTGTCTTAGATTCTCGCAAGTCACGATTGTATTGCCACTCAGTACTACATGAGGCATTACGGTATGAGCCATAAAATGGCAAAGTCGAGGCTATATAAGTTCACTATACTGTTTAATGGAATACGGACTTCGAAATTACGACGAAAAATACTCGGGCTTAAATTTCTTTTTCTCCCGAAAAATAACAAGTTGTCCTTTCATCCCGCCAGTCAACAACAAGACAGAGCAGACATAATCACTCTGAAACCTCAACTCCGTATCAAACATGAACTAACACCTTCAAGTTTTCTTTTGTTACCTCGCACTATTAACGAATGGAACGCTCTACCACCATCATTGCTAAAATCAGTTGTGTAGATCGACACAATTACTGATATGTAAAGTTTGAATTGAGTTGTAAGTGTTTGTTTGTTCTTGTTTTTAACTATATGAAAATTTTGTATTTTGTTTTGTAATTTCACCTCTCTTGCCTGGGCCCTGTGGGCCTGCAGTGTGTTGTAAATAAAAACAAATAAACAAACAAATAAATAAATAAATAAATAATCAACATTCAGAGGAAAAAGAGAGTGAAGGATCGTCAAGAAGAGTGAACACAACACCCGCGCACAGACATACGCACATTTGTGTGAACACATCGTGCACACGAACACACAAAAAACACACCCGAACATCAGTTCTTCACATAAACCCGAAGCGAGCACCCAATACAATAACCGTTCATAATGAAACGTCATTCAAGTCAGTTGCTGAAACTCTCGAACCAGTTTCTAAAGCATTTCCTTACATTTAATGTCATTTCTAGCGTGTGCAGCTCCGTCAGCGTCGTAAATAAAAGCGTGGAGCTTCTGGCGATACGATGAAATTGCTGGCGCCATCATCTTGAAATCTACGTAAAACATTTATAAGGATTAATCATCTCTTTGCCATCTAAATCTAACCATATAAATGTACGAGATGATTAAGGTAATCTACAAGATTATGTAGGCATGGATTAACCGCTGGTAACACTGCAAAGCTTTCGTGTTGCTACGCGGTGTTGCGCGTTTGTTTTTGGCAGCCATTGTGACTTGTGGATGTGCGCGAGCTTCGCTAACTCTTTCGCCGCTTGTTCAGCAACATGCCTCATGCATTTCGATGTCAAGCTCTATCGGCTGATAACTTTTCTCAATAAATGATAACTGATGTCCGCATTATCAGCCCATAACTGATCCTCGTTCTCTCGTTTTTCTCTCTTCCTTCACCTCTTATCATTCCCGGACCAGATGGTGCAAGCCATACAAGTTCTCAGGTTTCATCTTCTAGAGCTCGAAAAGGTGAGTCCCGTTTCCCAATTTTTAGTGTGCATATTATTTCTACCAAAAACTAGTTTGATCCTTTTTTTCCCCCTCAATCAGTGTTCAATTTCAAAACCCCAGAAATTTAAGGATTAGAAAGGCTACGCTTAATCCTTTATCACGACGTGAAGGTAACACCGGCTGCCCCCTTCTTGCTCTGTTGACTTGCTGCAATGGTACATCTTTTGTGTCGTTTTTGGGAGGCTAAGCTTGGTGGGGATATATTGGGAAAAGATACGACACTTTAGGAGTGGGGCTTGAGTGTGCAGAATGATCTTGGGCACCCACTCTTCCGTTCCAGTGCGTCCCTTTTGATCTGATTTATTATAACAACCATCAATTGCATAGTCATCATCATCGTCAGCCTGACTATACGCCCACATTAAGGGCAAAAGCTTCAATCATGTTCCCCCTGTCAACTCGGTGCTGTGTTGGCTGCGGCCACGTTACACGCTCAAAGCTTATTATTCTTATCTGTCCACCTATATACTTTCTGTCTCCCCCTCGCAACGTTTGCCTTCCCTAGGAATTCAGTCGATTATTCTTAATGACCTGTGACTATCTTATCCGTGTGCTACGTGCCCTGCCCATGTCCATTTCTTCTTGTTGATTTCGATGATGTCCCTAACACCAGTTTGTTCTCTGACTCGCTCCGCTCTCCTCTTTGCGCTTAAAGAGACAGCCTACCTTTGTTTTATTAAACAAGAAAGCTGTTGTAGCTGGCAGTAGTTTGAGTGGTGCCCCCAGAAAAAAAAAAAATGCCATGAACCGGTGCGCGTTTTCTTCGTCCTCCTCTTCACAAGGACGAACCTGAGTGCCCATTCGCTCTGCAGTGTCGCAGCCTTGCGGGACTCTGTGCAAGTTGTGCTAGTTTTCATTCCATCTACTTATTACAAGTTCTTTAAACCCATCTATCCATTCTCCGAATAGCCTCCAGAAGAACGCCATAGATACCCTTTCTTCTCCAGCGTTCCTTCTTCGAACGCGAGTCCTTGGCTTTTTTTGTGTTCGCAGCGGCCTCCGGAAACGCGTACCTGTTTCGCTTCTTCCATCGCTAAGGCTGGTGCGTCGCGGCGCATTCTATTCTACGTTTTTGCTTGTTTCGCTCATCGACCTAAAGCGAGGCCTCCTCTACGAAACTCCGAAACAAAGAAAAAGAAGGAATAAGATAGCGTATAAATATATAGAATAAACGAGGTAAAGAAAGAAAGAAAAGGTACGCACGCCGGGGAAAAAAAAACAACCACAGTCGGGACCTTTTCTTTTTCTGTCTCTCTCAGGCCCGGGCGGCAGGTCGTGATGGGTACCTGTCACAGAGACGTCATGTCACGCTTAGTTTGAGCGTCGGCCTCTCCGCCGCCATTGTGTCCGCGGTGACGGCTACGCCCCCTGGCGTCCCGGGACGTTGCAGCAACGGCAGCCCTGCCTCGGGTTCTTGCATATTTGTACTTCATTTTCCCGTTATTCTTTTTTTTTTTTTTGCCTTCGCGCATGGAAAGTCCGCATTATACCTTCGCGCCATGGGAAGCTATACTCTCGTTTCTTTCTCTGTTTATTCATTCCTGGCGTCTCTTCTCATCTCGTTTTGTTCTTGGTGGTCCGTGGCGGGGAACCGTCAACCGGACGGCTGCATTTGGCTGGCCTGTACGAGGTGGTCGTTCGAACGACTGATACGCACAGACCGCGCGAACGGCGAGTCGGCGACGCCTTAGCGCTAAAGAAGAACGAAGATCGCGGAATAAGTAGGGAGACGAATTTGCTCGTCCTGCTGCGATCTACTATATATGTGTTCTGTAGCGACTTGCCTCTTCCTCGGTCCAGGTGTTTTCGGCGTTATGACTTCAGTAAACATAGCGTCGGGGTTTGTTCTTTGCTGTATCGATATACGATGAAAACATTTCTGTACAGAAAGAATGTTTCTCAGACATTTCTGGAGCCAGTCCTGCCGAGAAAGGCTTACTGTCAGTGTATCATCCACATGCCTGTCGAAGTCGTCTGAATCAGTGTCGACTACGTTTGCATTTGTCGATGCTGGCGACCTGCTGGGCGTGTCCAAAACAAAGCAGGTGCTCATTCTCCATTGAAATTTGCCTAAAGATGAGGCAAAACTAAAACACTCTTTGAACTCTTCTATACGTGCGTGGGGAGGACTCATTTGTCGCATCGCACGCACAGTTTACAGGCACTTGGTGTCATCGTGTCGAGTGACAAGCCGAGCTTAGAGAACGAGCTCGACTCGACCCGACCGCATGCGCGTCTTGGCTAAAACATATGCCGAAAGGAACTCTCAGTAGGTTCGGGGACTCAACTCCGATTGGCGGCCGCTCAACTGATCCGACTAAAGTTGTCTATATGAACGCGACACGACTGGTTTCCGGACTTACAAGCGATACACTGGATTTGACTTGGTGACTCGACCTTGTCGGGATCGTGTAGGCTGAGCTGCAGTGGAGGCTCGTCTCACTGCTGGGATTACGACTTACCGTAGATACCTCTACAGATACGTGCCACCGCGATAACATATGCCTTTGGCGGTGAATTCGACGAAGAGAAAGGCGGGTTATCTGACTGATGAAGAAGCTTGCAGAGCAGAGCAATAAAAAATGTATTTATGAGAAGGAAGAAGAGCATGGATACAATGAAGGTGATGATCATAAGTACACGTGCAATAGGGATACGAAAATGAGATAGATTAAAAAAATATCTTTTTAAATTTGGTGAGCAATACGTATCTAATTACTAGTAATCGACCCTTCACATAAGCAAATAATTACAATTATTACCTATCAGGCCTTCAAATTATAGATTACAGAAACTTTGAGAATAATACACCTTCTACTCGGCCAACCTCCTTCGATGGGTGCGTGCCATGGCCGGGGGTGAAGAAGAAGAAGAAGAAGAAGAAGAAGAAGAAGAAGAAGAAGAAGAAGAAGAAGAAGAAGAAGAAGAAGAAGAAGAAGAAGAAGAAGAAGAAGAAGATATGAAAGGCACGGATAAGCAGATAACGATAAGTGTGGTATAAGGCGTCGCTACCGACTACAGCGCTGTGCGGTGGCACGCGCTCGGTGGCCGCCACGGGGGGAGAGGAAAGAAGATGAAATAAACAAGATGTCTCCGTTTATGCTGTGCTATTCATTATGCACGATGTAACATATTTTGGCGACGAGGATTCACCAGCCCATGTGCTACCGGCCTGAACCTCATCTGTGCCCTCGTTTATTGCCTACCATCTTCTACGATGAGTATTTCGGGGCTACAGCCGCCACCTCCGTTCCTGTCGTCACCTGGACACCCGGACATTCCATGGGAGCAATGGATCCAGGCTTTCAAGAATTACATGGTTGCTTCGGGCGCCTTCGACCTACCTGCCATTCGTCGGAAGGCGATCCTGCTCAACTGCTTGGGCTTGGAAGGACAACGTATCTTCCAGACTCTGACGACTACTGACGACCCGTGCCTCGTGCCTGCGAGCGCTGCGGCAGGTACACTAACGTCCCCTAGTCCTGATGTGTTCGACCGCGCCATCGCGACGCTGGAAGGTCACTTCAAAACCACGTTGAACGTCACTGCAGCGCGTCACCGTTTCCGTCAACGTACGCAGGCCCCAGGTGAGACTGCGGCTGATTACGTCACCGCGCTGAGAAGTCTTGTAGGAGCATGCAATTTCGGTGATTTAACGGACGACATGATACGCGACCAGCTCATAGAGAAAACCACAAGTGGATACTTACGTGAACGCCTTCTGCTGGAAGAGTCTCTCACGCTTTCTAAGGCTCTTACCATTGCCAAACAGCATGATCAAGCGACTAATGAAGCAAGAGAACTTGCACAAAATGACTTGCAAGTTCATCGTGTAAAAGATACTTCAAATCACAGAGAACGGCATTGTAGCACATGTACTTGCTATAACATGCACGGTCAAAGTCGCATATCTCCGAAAGAGCAAGTATGTTATCGTTGTGGTTCTACGGCACACCTTGCAAATAGCTCTCTGTGCAAGGCCAAAGCACATAGGTGTCGACAATGTGAGAAAATTGGCCATCTTGAAAGGTGTGCAAGTCATTGCGGAAGTTTGAGAAGAATGTTCAGCATGTAGCGGAAGGTAACGATACAGCTGATCCAGACGACCATTTAAGTGTTTGTCAGATCTGGAGCCGTAAGAAGGGAATTTACGCAGCGTTGGAAATAGAAGGAATTTCTGTACCATTTTTGATCGATACAGGATCATCGGTTTCGATCCTGGCCGAAGAACTTTACCAACGCTATTTTTCTAAAGCGTATCCACTGAAGTCTACATCCGTCCAGCTTCTCGATTATTCAAAGGCAGCAATTCCTATACAAGGATGCTTCATTGCTACTGCCTCATTTCACGGCCGATGCACTTCTGTTCTACTATACGTTGTGCCTGGGGGAACGACCATTCTGGGATTAGACGGCATCGCTGCTCTGGATATGAAGATCCAAGGGTCACCGCTCAGGTGTCTTCTAATGACGCAAGAAACTCCGGTGCTACCTCCAGAATTACGTTCTGAGTTTGAGCACCTATTTGCAAAAGAGCTGGGAACTGTGAGAGGTTTCACTCACAAGGTCAGAGTTCGCGCGTCTGTACAACCGGTGGCCAGCAAACTGAGACGACTGCCACTTGTCATTCGCGAGCAAGTCTCGGCAGAAGTTCAGAAATTAGAAGCTCAGGGCATCATTGAGCGTGTCGACTCTTCTGAGTGGGTCTCCCCTATTGTCGTAGCCAGAAAAAAAGACGGCTCGATTCGCATGTGTGTTGACTTACGGGAGCCAAACAAAGCTGTGGTAGTAGACAGTTTTCCTTTGCCACAAACTGAGGAGCTCCTGAACAGCCTGGCTGGGGCACAGCGTTTCTCGAAGCTAGACTTAGCTTCTGCATATCACCAGTTACCGCTCAGTTTAGAGAGCCGTGACCTTACCACGTTCATCACTCACGATGGACTATTTCGCTTCAAGAG